GAACCACTGATTTCGATTTGATGTGTGTTGCTCCTGTGACTATTCTGCCCATATTCTAGTGTATGTCTGTTGGGATACAGGAGTGGGCACTGGGATGCATTCCATGTAGAGCAACCTGTGATTGGCATTATGTTCTTAGATGTGAAAAATACCGTGTAAACACACTTCAAGAGTTTGAAGGGCATGACACTGAATTTGTAATGGTATTGTATACTGGTTAAAGTATTGCTTTCATTTACTTGCTTTCTTTAAATTGCATTCCGTGTAGGGCTTGTCTGCTATGTCAAACTCTATTCCAAATATCATTTACCATCTAGGGCATAGGCAATACTGGATCAGCTGTCACTGAAAGAATTAATACTCAATAGGGGAAAGTGAGAACAGTTTTGTGGATATTTCTTTATACCTTGACAGATACCAGTTCTGTAGCATAAGGTAAGCTTGCAGTAAGTTAGCAAGTATTTTTTGCAGGTTTCTTCTCTCCTGAGGTGCTTGGTGTGAGTTTGTATTCTTAATATGTGGCAACATGTGTCCAGTAGTCTGAATTCCCCTTTGGAAGACAAGGTCTCTGTTTTGAATTCCTTCTGGAATGAATAGGAAGAAAATTGGTTATTGCTTGTTTCATTAAAAGAGCTGATTGGGAATCCTTTGGTCCTGACTTTGTGACCTTTGCTTCATTCAAATTGCATCTAGAGGCTGGGTAGAAGTTCATTTCAAAAAATTTCCTCAAGATTTTGTGTTTGATTGCAGAATCACAGAATGGATGAGGTTGGAGGCACCTCTGAAGGCCTCTAGTTCAACCCTTTTCTCAGAGCATGTTCACTGTAGATGGGTTGCTTAGGCCTGTGTCCAGTTGGATTTTGAACATTTCCAGGGTTTGACTCTACAATCTGAGTTACTTGACCACCCTTTACCATGAAAAGGTGTTTCCTTGTGGAATTTCCAAATGAATGTTTTTGTTTCAGTTTGTGCCCATTGACTCTTGTCTTGTTGCTTGATACTATGGAGAAGAGTCTGGCTCTATTTTCATTGTTCCTTTTAGCAGATTTTTGTGGTTAAGATCTTGCTGAGCTGTCTGTTATCCAGACTGAGCAATTCCAGCTCTCAGCCTTTCCTTGCATCAGAGATGCTCCAGTCTCTTAGTCACTTTTGTGGCTGTTTAGTGGATTCACTCTAGTTGTAAATATCTATACTGTATTGGGGAGCCCACAGCTGGAGACAGTCCCCTACAAATGTCTCACCAGTGCAGAGATGAGAGGAAGAACCACCTCCCTTGACCCTCCTGGTGATGCTTCTACTAATGGCAGCCTAGGTGGGTATTGGCCATCTGTGTCACAAGGGTATTTTCTACTGGCTTATCAGCTTAGTGTCTGCCAGGACTCCAAGGTTCTCTGACAAGCTGCTTTTTAGTCAGTCAGCTCTCAGCACGTACTGATACATGTGATTATTTTCTCCAAGGGGAGCACTCTGATTTTCTTGTTGTAACTCTTGAGTTTCCTGCTTGCTCTGTTTTCCAGTCTGTTGAGGTCCCTCAGGTTGGCAACACAATCTTCTGGTCTGTCAGCCACTCCTCCAAGTTTTGTATCATGTGAAAGTTTCTGAGGCTACAGTGACCCATCGTCCAGTGAAGATGTTAACCAATATTGAGGCCAGTGACTAGTGTTCAGCTCAATTTCATGCTACAGATCGTAACCCATTGAGCCTGGTAGTTCAGCCAGTTTTCAATCTCATCACTGTCGCACTTAACTAGTATGTATTTAAGCACAGATAGGTCTATACTTTGTGCACTTTGTGAAGATACTACAGGAGTGTGTCAGGTCTCTATACAGAGGTGGTATGAAGAGCCACTGTTCTTCCTTGTTCACCAAAGCAGTTGTCATTGTAGAAAACTGTTAGGTTGGTCAGATGTGGTATCATCACAGCGTTGCAGTCAGCAATAGTCACTTTTCTAGACCAGCTGGCCAGGCTCTTGCGAATGCAGGCCAAGATGTAGTTGTTTTCTCTGTCACAAAGGCACACTGCTGGGTTGTTTCGAGCTTGTCAGTCACTGAGACAGCCCTCTCCTGTGAGGCTGTTTGCCATGCTCTTGCCCCCCCTCCAGCTCTACAGAAAATTTCTCACTTTGTGCAGTTGCTATATCATGGGGTTTCTGTGCGCTTTGGCCCGTAAGGTCCGTGTTGTGCATACAAGGGGGAGAGATGAAGTGTGGCCTGTAAATGAGAAAGGGATTGCATATAACTTGGGCTATAGCTCCCAGAAGTGTTGCAAGAAAATGTTTCAATTTTCACATGTTTTGGGTTTTGAAAGAAAAACCAAACACTCTCAGAAAGCCAGCATGTACTGACTGCTTCTAGTCACCTTTGTGTCATTTGTGTCACTGAAAGAGACTTTCATGGTTATTTTCTCAATCATCTTCCTAGGGTTTGAATTGAACTTGACTGGTCTGTAGTTATCTAAAGGGCAAGAGAGTGTCTTTCCACTCTTCAAAATGAGTGATACTTAACTCCTTCCACTCCTCAGAAACCTCCCCTGTTCCCCATGACCTTTCAAAGACAACCAAGAGTTGCCTTTCAGTGACATCCATCAGCTCCCTCAGCACTTGTGGGCACAGTCTTTCAGGCTCCATGAACTTCTTTCTGCACAGTTTAAGTATTCCTTAGTGTGATTCTCTACCACTGAGGTTAAGTATTCCTTGTTCCAGGCTTTCTACTGCTCTTGGGCCTGGGATTGCTGAAGGTTAGTTATTGCTAAAGAATGAGACAAGGGAAGTACTAAGTGTTCTGTCCTTTTCTTTGTCCCTGGTCAGCAGTTTTCCTGCCCTGTTCAGTGGTGGGTTTGTTTTTCCCCAGTCTTCCTTTTGCTTACAGTAAATTTCTGCAGATCTTTTTTGTTACCCTTCAGGTCTCTTACCAAATTCAGATCCAGGTGGGCTTTACTTTTCCTAACTTCACCTGTGCATGATTGGGCACCATTTATATATTCCAGCTTTCATATACTTTATACATTGGCTTAATGTTCAAGTTAATTCCTTGTTCATCCAAGGGCATCCATGGGCCCAGACACCTTGACTTAATTTCCTACTTGCTAGATGGATCTTTTGGTTCGAGTTCATTCTTCAGTCACTGGAAATGGTGAGCAGGGACATCAACATGGTTTCCAGACCTATAAAGCTGTTCTAGCAGCTTGCTTTGTAAGAACTGTGGTATCCACACCTGTTGCTGCTGGGCTGTCGTAATGATCAGGGCAATATATGGGTAAGAAGGGAGAATTTTCATTTCATTCTCAACACTATTGAACTTGAATTGCAGATCAGGCAGACCTTGTGAGTTCATTGCTTCTAGCTTACCTCATCATCACTAACTGGAAGGGAAAAAAGCTTTGGGTATTAAGCATTGCCTCATAGGTCACGTATTTCATGTAAGATTTTTCTTCGCTTTTTGTGTGTCTCTCTCTCTTCACACAGATCACAAGTCTGTTATTTCTGTTTATATTGTACTTCCTCAGTTTTATTCTGTCTCACGTCAAATGAAAACAATTTTGACAGAAGTGGGCAGCTGGATGGAAGGTTCAGTTACTGCATTGGATTGCTTAGAAAGTGGAGCTGTTTCATTTGTCAGCATCTACAGAACTACTTCTAGAGCAAAGTTGTCTAGATAGTTTGGAAACTGGGGTAACAGTAGCACCATAAGGTGTAGCTTAAAGTTTTGGCAGGCCTTTGGTGTCTTCCATTCATACAGACCTCTTTTGTCCTGTTTGAGAAGAGCTTATGCGCTCCAACCTCTGCTCTTGAGTACTTGCAGGTGTGCATGTTTAGAAAGCAGCTTTGTAACAGGTATTGGTTTGAGTTCAGAGGTAATGTAAAGTCCACAGTATCTCCTTAATCTTTAGCAAACCCTGCTGATTTTATTTTCTCGTTAGTGAAATGTTGTTTTACCTTTATTTGTCGAACTTCTTGAGGTTTGCACAGGTTTACCTCTTAAGCCTGTCAGGGTCTCTCTCGAAGGCATCCCTTCCCTCTCTCCAATGTGTCGACTGCCCCACACAGCTTGGTGTAGTCAGGGAACTTGCTGACCATGCACTCAATCCCACTGTCCATGTTGGCAGCAAAGATGTTAAATAGTATTGGCCCCAGTACCAACCCCGTCGAACTTCTTGAGGTTTGCACAGGTTTACCTCTTAAGCCTGTCAGGGTCTCTCTCGAAGGCATCCCTTCCCTCTCTCCAATGTGTCGACTGCCCCACACAGCTTGGTGTAGTCAGGGAACTTGCTGACCATGCACTCAATCCCACTGTCCATGTTGGCAGCAAAGATGTTAAATAGTATTGGCCCCAGTACCAACCCCGAGGGACACCAGTCATCACTGGTCTCCACATGTGAGCCATTGCATTGACCACAACTCTCTGCGCGTGACCATCCAGCCAGTTCTTTATCCACTGAGTGGTCCATCCATCAAATCCATGTCTCTCCAATTTAGAGACAAGGGTATCATGCAGGACATTGTCAAACGCCTTGCATAAGTCCAGGTAGATGATGTCAGTCACTTTGCCCCATTCACCAATGTTGTAGCCATGTCATAAAACATTAGCAGATGTCAGGCATTATTTGCCCTTTATAAATCCAAGTTGGCCATTGCCAGTCACCTCTTTGTTTTCTACGTGACTGGCAACACTTTTTCTCCACCCAAGCTTGCTGGAGTGTGTACTTAGCTTTTCTTCATTTATTTGAAAGTATGTCTTAAGTTATGTACGAGTTCACGTAGATAGCTTCCCGTACGTAGTATATATTGCATTTCTTCCACGTTTTCA